ATCTGAAGGAATTCAATTTCTTTTCTTCTGGCATATAAAATATAATTTTAAAGTCAATTACAAGAAAGAGTAATCTGCATTCTGCAAAATTGACTAGTTCTCTAATTTGACTATAAGACATCTTTAATGATTGTCAAGAAATAAACTTTAACTGTAAACGGCTAAATATATTTATAAGAAAAGTACTGCATCTCTTGCCACATGAACATGAAGCAGATCCAAATACAACATCAAAAGTTGTGTTTTTTAAAAAAACAAACCCATACAACACAGGGATTAAATGATGTGGAAGCTCATGCCAGCTGCAGTCTATGCATTATGGCCAAATCAGAAGGATCGGTAAATGCCGTTGTAAATTGTAATTTGTATGCAGTATTTAAGGAGAGGGTGGAGTTTGATGAAGAAATAAAACGAGTATCATGCTTTAAAAAAAATGACACAACTATGAAAGCACGGTTCAGTCACAAACTTTCCTTTCAAAGTAGAGGGGTGAAAACAAGGCCACAGCTCTGGAGGAGGCGGCCCCAGCTCCGTGAAGAAGAGAGGGAACCAGTGAACGGGCCAGAAGCCCCCCTTCCCCCCTAATTAGACCTACAAGTGCAATAAATCTCACTCCTCTTTTTCCAAGCTAAGCTTCCAAAAGGATGATGGCAGCAATGAATCTATGGTTCAGGGTACTCCAGCCCCCAGCCCTCCCCCATTTTACATAAAGGGTATGAAGAGGTGGAGGGAAAAGTGGAATGAAAAAACACAGAAACAGAGTTTTCTGGAGGAAATAAGCACCCCTCCCCAAGTTCATGCCAGCACAGCCCCAAGCAGCCTCACGCACACGCGGGAAAGACACACACCAAGCACATCCAAGACAGAGGGAAGAAGGGGATTTTAAGCCACAGCTCACGATCCCAGGGACACAATCCTGAGCAGGCAGCGGGCGGGGTGGGGGAGCCGGGGAGAGGAGCGCAGGCCGGGAGGGGGAGGCAGCGGCAGCGAGCTGGGGAGGGGGGGAGACGCCGGGGGAGGAAGGCAGCGGGGAGAAGGGAAGCTGGGACGGGCCGGGACCACAGGAGCCCCAGCCCCACAGAGCAACCGCCCGAGCGAGAAAGAAAGAAAGAGCCAGGGAGGCGAGCGAAGCGCGGGGAGAGAAGCAGAGAAGAAATATTCACCTTCCCGCCTCATGCCCACTTTGAGGCACTTCTTGAGGCGGCAGTATTGGCACTGGTTGCGGTGGTGCTGGTCGATGGGACAGTTCCTGTTGGCACGGCATGTGTAAGTTAAGTTCCTGCGGACGCTCCTCTTGAAGAAACTTTTGCAGCCCTCGCAGGTGAATTGGCCGTAGTGCTTGCCGCTCGACTTGTCCCCGCACACCACGCACTCGATGTGCTGCTGGCTCTGGCCCGAACCGGGCGGGCCCTGGCCCTTGTCCCCCGCCGTGCCGGGGGTGGCGGGCGCTCCGGGCTGGCCCGGGGTCTGCGGCGTGTGCGGCGCGCCCGAGCCCGCCTGCTGCTGCTGCTCGCCGGCGCCGCCGCCGCCGCCGCGGGCCGCCTGCGCTGCGGGGTTGGGGCCGCCGGGGTTGCCCCCGGCCACGTCGTCCTGCGGATCTCGCCAGCTGCTAACTACCATTGCCATATCTTTGGGCCCGGGGAGCGCTGGGGGGAGCCGAGCTGCTCGCCGAGGGCCGCGGGGCGCGCGGGCGCGCTGGGAGGGGAAGGGGAAGGGGAAGGGGGGAGGGGGAGGGGGCGGGGGGCCCGCCGGGCGCCCCGGGGTCGCAGGAGCCGAGCCCGAGCCGGGCACCGGCCGCTGCCTCCGCCGCCGCCGCCGCTGCCGCCGCTACTGCCTCGGCCGCCCCGCTGCTGCTGCGCGCCCGCCCGCCCTGCTGGCGTTTTGTTGTGGTTCCTGCTGTTTTCTTTCTCTCTTTTTGCAGCCCCCCCAGGCTCTCAGGCTCCCCCCCCAACACCCCTGCTCCCCTCGCCCGCTCCCCCCGCGCTCCGTTCCTGGGGGGGCCGCGCTCTCCTTCCCCCCCTCCCCACCCCCCGGCGAGCAAGCTCCCTTCTCTCGCTTTTTTCTTCTTCCCCAAGTTGCAAAATCAGAAATGGCACAGGCGGCAGCCGGGAGCGGCGCGGGGCGCAGCGCCGGGGGCGGCGGGCATGGGCCACGGCGCGCGCACACACTCGCCCTCCGCCTCGCCCGCACCCCCGCGCACACACACACTCGCACACACACTCGCTCACCCGCGCCGGGCGCCCGCCCGCCCGCCGGCCGCTCGGGCTACGCGCAGCGCGCGGGCTGAGCCGACATAGAGGAAGCCGGCGAGGGCGGAGGCGGCGGCGGCGGCGGCGGAGGAGGAGGTCGCGGCTGCAGGCGCCGCTGGAGCTGCCGCCGGAGCTGCTGCGGCGGGCGCCGCTGGAGGAGCCGGGGCCCGGGCCGGAGTCCGAGCAGGAGTCGGGGCCGCAGCCGGAGCGCGAGCGGAGGCCGGGGCCGCCCGCGCCGCCGCCGCTGTCCCGGCGGGAGCCCTCGCCGGGCTCGGGAGTGTGGGGAGCGCGGTGAGCCAAGCAGGGCGCTGGGCGAGGCTGCCGGCGGCGATCAGGGCGCGCGGGTGTCGGGGGGCCAGGTCCAGGGCCGGACGCAGCCAGCCATTCAGGAAGGCAGCGCTGGAGAGCGGGAGGCAGCCGGCGAGGAAGATCACACACTTTGCTCTTTTTGTTGTGCCGGTGGCGCCGGGCTCTCGCTGCCTTCTTCTTTCGGGAGGTGACGGAAGGGGGAGAAAAATACGGGATAATTCACGCCGGCGACGAATTCACAGCGAAATAGAAAAAATAAAAATCAGAAGAAAATAATTGCCAAAAAAAAAAAAAAAAGGAAAAAGGAAAAGCGAGAGAGACATCCAAAGTAGGTCGAATAAATAATCCTCTTCTTTTCCTCTTTCTTGCTCCTTCTTCTGCTTCTTCTGCTATAACACACAGAGCTAGTTAAAAAAACCCTGGAGATCGCCCAAAAATGTTCTTTTTTTAGTATTTTAAATAAGTGCTCTTCAGCCGGGAACCAACACCCTCCCTCCAAAAAAAAATCATATATGTATAAAATAACGATAAGAAGAATACGAAGGGGGTGCCTCCTCCTCCTCCTCCTCCTCCTTTTTTTTCTTTAAGTTTAGCCCTCTCTCTTCTGTAGGAAGGGAGTAAAAGACACAAGGAGGAGGGAGAAAAAGGAAAGAAAGAAGAAGAAGGGGAAAACAACTAGTAGAATATATAAGAAAAGAGGAAGGAGAGAGAGAAGAGAGGTTCAGAGAAGACAGGAGAGAGAGAGAAGAGAGGAGGGAGAGAGGGGGGAGAAAGAGGAGAGAGGAGAGAGGGGGGAAGAGAGAGAGAGAGAGAGAGAGAGAGAGAGAGAGAGAGAGACCCAAAAATTGAATGCGTTTAAACGGGAGGACTCGCAGAGCAATGTTTCCGAAAGGGGGATCTGCGCGAATGTCTGTATATAGTGAACTTTGACACTACTATTGAAACTGACACGTTTCTATGGAGATCGCTGCCTTATATGGAGCTCGTGTCAAGGAGCCAAGAGAAGGGCTGCTGGCAACTGATAATCAAAGGCGACTGACTGGTCAGAGCCCTGAATCGGGGGGAGAGAAAATGGGAGGCTAAGGTTAGCCAAGCCTCCCGCACGCCATTGGTTGGAGAGCCCCTCCCCCCTCCTCTTTTGCTTTCTTTCTTTTTTTCCCCCTCCCTCTTTGCTACCTACAGACTGGGATGGTGTGGGGAGGAGGAGAGAAAGTGAGGGAGGGGGGTGTGTTTCTGACAAGCGCAATTTACATTGAGATCGCCCTGCGCTGCTATTTACTCTGAGACCTGATTAGTATGGGTCGTCTATGGTCACACATACACACACACACACACACACACACGCACGCACGCACACACCCCAGAGGGGGAAGGGATGACTAGGGGGAGAACGCCTAGCGATGGGTAAAAGGAGAATTAGAAGGAAATTATTTTGATTTCTTTTGAAAAGTTTTTAAAATTAGATTTTATGAGCGTGAAGAGAGTGTCATTGAAAATGTTTGGAAAAATTTTTAATGGGGATGAAACCCCCACCATTGTAATGATTCGTGAATATGCTGGATTTGGATTGTTTTCTTCTCCCACATATAAGCACAATCCAAGTCTGGATTCTAATCATTTTATATCCTTTTTAGAAACAGGTAGGATCTCCCTATATTTTGATCCAAAGTATACCTTGGTTTAAAAGGTTTAATGACGACAAAGCACGCTCCTGGAATTTGCAGCTATTGCCACAAATTCGATCGGAGTCAAGGGTTCCTATGTATCCCAAAGATGATTTTAAAAATAAACTTTCCAATCAATCAAATTTTTCCTTCTTCTTCTTCTTTTTTAAAAAAATCACCTGACTGTTCCAAACTACAAACAATGCTTCAATGATCATTAATAAAACAGTAGTAAGTCCTCGTATTGTTGCGGGAGGGGGGCGATTAGTGTGGCCAAGTCAGTCCCGGGAAAAGAGCAAACCGAGGAGAAGACGGAGGGGGGGGGAGGGGGAGAGGGCAAGGAGAGAGGAGAGACCGAGAGAGAGAGAGAGAGAGAGAGAGAGAACGGAGAGAGAGAACGAACAGAGAGAGAGAACGGAGAGAGAGAGAGAGAAGACAGAGAGAGGAGAGAGAGGAGAGAGAGGAGAGAGAGGAGAGAGAGAGAGAGAGAGAGAGAGAGAGAGAGAGAGAGAGAGAGAGAGAGGAGAGAGACCCGGTTCCCGAAGGTGATTGGCGCGGGAGGAGGGGCGGCGGGAGGAGCGGGTCCCGCGGCGGGGCTCGCAGGAATCGCTGGCTCCGGCTGCCACCTAGCGGACGGGAGCCGCTCCCGGGCGGCACGACGCCGAGTCCCTCCTCCCCTCCCCGCAGGCAGCCTGTGCCTTTTCTCCAAACGAAGACAGCACTTTGAAAATTCTTTCAATGGATTTTTTTTTCCTTGAAAGATCGTACTGGGGGAAAATGATACTTCTATTAGTTACATATTCTCCAATCGCATCCTCGCACCCCCCTCGTTTTGAGATCGCTCCCCTAGGCAGGCTCAGGCGGGCGCGGAGCGGCGCGGAGTGACAAAGCCGCCGCTGCCGCCGCCGGGGGTGGGAACCGCTCTCGCCCGCCCGCCCCTCGACTCGCGAGGGCGTAAAAGTTTGTCTCAGCTCGAGCGTTCGTAGCGCCAACACGCCCTCAGGTAAAGGTGGAAGTAAATGGCCACGCTGTATTGACAGAGGTAGGGTTTGTTTTTTAATACTCGTTCTCACTTGAGGTCTCACCAGGGAGGGGTTTGGGAAGCACTGCGTGTTTGGGGGACGTTTTGCGCTTCCCGGTCTCTCCAGCCTGCAAGCCGGGAGTCGGCGACCGCTTAGTGACGAGCGATGATTTTAAAGAGCGGACTACAAGGCTTTCCCGTGCCTGCCCCACAGCCCCTCCAGCTCGAATGATGGAGAGACTGTCAACGCACTCCGCGAGCGCTGGCCCATTGTACGCGGCTGATGGCGAGGAGGCGACCGAAGGTGGCAGGGGCTCCTTGCCCTCGCCCCTATGCCCAAATAAACGCGCAAACGCCCTCCCATCTTCTGGTCACTTAAAAGGTGAAACGAACACGATGAAAATAGACCAAAAAAAGAAAGAAAAGAAAACCTTTCTATGTACAAATTCTAAATCGTACTCCCCATGCAGTCAGAGGCAGGGAGTCGAGGGCAGAGGCAGCAGGCAGAGAGAGGGAGACAGGGCGCGGGAAGGAGAACGCCGAGAGAGACGGAGGGAGTGGGAGACGAGCGAGAGCGAGCGCTAGGGCACCGCAGGCACGCTGGACGCCCGGTCCACAGGCCCAGCCGCCCTCGGACCCTGGACCGTGCGTCGTGGGCACCAGAAACGAGACTCGGCCAAATCCTGCCTCACCAGGCAAGTAACGCAATGGTTATCGTTTCTCTTGAACTTGGGGTTGGTGACGGGCAGCGCCGGGAGGCAGTCTTGGCTTGCACGGCCTCCGCGGGCCGGGAGCAGAGTCTAGGCAGCCGGGGCGGGACGAGGAGAACTTTCCGCGGGGCCTGCTCGGGAGTTGCCCTCGCTCGGCCTCTGTCTCGCCCCCGCGCGAAGGCAAGGATCGCGGCCGCGGCACTTCCCTGGAGGAGAGCATCGTGCCAGGCGAGCAGCAGCAAAGCACATTCAAAATAGGCGGCCCCCACCCCCACCTGCTATTCCCTATGTCCCCCTCGGCGGGAAACAGCTGCCCAGACTGGGGACCGGGACCCGCACGTTTAACACCGGCCAGGCTGTTTCTGCTGGTGCCTAGCGCGACCCGCGGTGGAGCCTGCTTAGGAGTCCGGCCCTGCTGGCTCTTGTGCCCGCACCTTGCATGTTGCGGCCAGAACCTGGCGAGCCTGGATCCTGCCGCCCACCTGCAGGCGCCGTTTGTAACGCCATCCCCTAATGTAACGCGATCGATGGCTGCCTGTCTGATGTGGGCGATAGTGTCAGCGGATTAAAAGGGACATCAAGCCGCTCTCCCGAGCGGACAACCCGCGGCGGTGGCAAGAGCACCGGGATTCACAGCCTAGCAGCGGAGCCAGACTCCTCGCGCCCCTGCCAGCGGGCTGGGGGCGGGGAGGGGGTCGCGTCCCAGGGGTGGGGAGAGTGGGGGTGTGTTGAAAGGAAGAGGCTCAATTAAAACCTACAGGAGCGCTTTCCTCTGTGCCGGGCAGGGGCGTGCGTTTGCGTCAGAGGGCGCGCGGGGGGCGGGGGCAGCCGACGCCTGGGACCGCACCCGGGGGCTGGGTGGGCTCTGGAGCCAGGCGGCCATGCCTAGCTGGGCTGGCTCGGGGTCAGGCCCTGCAGGCGAAGGGCAAGGCGAGGCGGGGCGACAGCTGAGCCTGGCCGGGAGCGGCGGCGCCCACCCATTCTCACTGCGGGCTCTCCGTGGCCCTGCAGGACTTTCAAACTTGAAAGAGGCCCCTGGGACCCGACATGACCCTGGGGTGGGGAGAAGTTGGGCCCGCGAGGCCTCGGGCGAAGCCTCCGGCTCCTCCGGAAGGAAGGAGGAGGGTGCAGTTCCTTGCCCTCCTCCCAGGGGTGGGAGTGGGAAGCTGTTGGTGGTGATGCCCGGAGCAGTCGAAGCTCGCGGCTTTTCGGAGAGGAGCGGCTCGCACTCCTGCGGGGCAACCCCGCCAACTTTCTGTCACAGAGGGGGCAGGGAGAAACCAAGGCTTTTCGAGAAGGGCGCAGTCCCCCTCTCGGACTCGTCCGGACTGAGCGGCACTTAGAGCTCAGTTTCTCTTCCGAAGCTTGTGTCCCCGACCGCGGTGGCACACCTACAGGGCGCCCCACTTGTGCTTACAGCACTGCCTCCAGCAAAAAAGTCTCCCGTAGAGGCACTGAGGGGTCAGCTGAGTTCCTGGGGAGCCCTTTCTTTCTCTCTTCAAGGCTGTCGTTTGATACTGGTCCCACTTGGCACACTTGTCCCAGGCCTAATGCAACCCACACCCAACCAGGAAATAACGATATCTGTTGTTGTTGGGTAGGGTACCTAACAAAAAACTGATCATAGTTTTCTAGAGTACTTGGACCCTCTAATTGGGAAACTCCACATACTAGTCCAGGCATGCTCAGCTGCAGGAGCAGGAAACGCAGTTGCAGTGTCCACTTTTTTTTCACAGGCCCCCCCACCCCCATTTAGATCTCTCTCCCTCCCTTCTAGGCCAGGCCTTTCACCCCGGAACCTTAAGCTGAATCTGGACTTGGTTCTTGGTTCTTGGCTCTTGCCTCAGCATCCTACCTGAGGCCTCCAGCCAGGCCCACCCTCTCCAGGGTCTCTCTCTCTCTCTCTCTCTCTCTCTCTCTCTCTCTCTCTCTCTCTCTCTCTCTCTCTCTCTCTCTCTCTGTTCGGCGGGTCTGGGAACTCAAAGGGCCTCGCCAAGGGCCTGGGCTCCTGGGGGCCTCCCTTCCTTCTTCTGCCTTCCTGGTCCTGAACAGTGCATACTAGGTCTTTAGTGTGGTTCCCCTAAAAGGCGATGAGAAGGTACCGCTCCGCTTGGGGAAAGGAATTAGGCTGTAAGCCTATGTAGTACCCCTTGCGGGTTGCTAGAATCAAGCTCAGCGTTAATCACATTTTAAAAGACCTACCAGAAAACGCTTGATCTCTCCCAGCCACCAGTAAACTGCTGTGATCTGGTGAGAGAGGTAGAGAAGCACAGATCGGTTTGGCTGCACATTCAGCGTTGACCTGCGTTCCAGGGCCCAGAGTCCGGCTGTAAGAGGACTTTCTAGCTTATTAACATACCCCCTCCCTCCATGTCTTTCTTACAACAAGACTGAACCATTCTTTACTAATTCTATGGTCTTTTTGATATTGATATCTTGGTCTCCCGAAAGTCATTCATTTTGACTTTTTGGTAAGTCACACTGAACAAAAGTGGCCTTGTAAAAACATTTTCTAAATCTAGTTCAAGAGCCATGGGACCCTACAAATGACCAGATATTTATAGGAAATTCCCTTTTATACCTCTTCCCTACCTCAAAATCGTTAAAAATTGTATTATTCTGTTTAGTAAGACCACAGAACAGAACTAGCCCTGTTTTATCAAGCCCATCTGGAGAGATGAACATGCCTGCAATCATTGGGAAAAAGGTCAGTGCCTCTGATCTTGCTGCAGACCTTTCCCAAAGAGCTTATTTGAAAGGTGCCGAATCAATTAGTCTCCCCTGGCATGAGATTAAAGCCAGGAAGGGGATAGTTGAAGATGTATTTAAAATGGTCTCACACAGATCTTTTGGAAGAAAGGGTGGAGAGAGGCGCAGGAATGCCCACCTAATGTTTTGTGTTACTAAAAAACAAAACCAAAACAAGCAAACAAAACCCCAGCCTATCTCAGAAATCTCTACTGAACCCAGCCTATATTATGGCTGCCCAGTTGTAAAAAATTCTGCCTTTGTCAACAAAAAACAAGGTGGACAGGCCAAGTTAGGAGTCAGGCTTCTGCTCGACTGCCTACTCTTAGCTTGCACATATAGTCATACCAGGAACCCAACAGACTCCAGTGTTCATTATTGCTGTGGTAGCCCAGGCATTTCTTCTTTGTCACCTTTGGGTCTAAACGCTCAGAGATAACGTAAGTGTTATACCTTAGTTTAGTTTTCTATCTCAAACCGGTCATTTAAAGCACATGTTTTTAAAAAGAGAGATAAGGGAAGCACTTCTCCTTTTGGCCTAGGCCCCCAGTTAGAGGGCCCAGGAGAAGCAGCCCCAAAAGGATGGCAGGAGAGCAAGCAGTGACCTTTGGATGCAAATCAAGCCTTTTTAGAGGAGGAAAAGTGACAATCATTCTTAGCATACCAGTTAAGCCAGAGCCAAATATTTACTTTTTATAAAAATCAAGTCTTAGCTATCTAAATGCATTTATGAAAAAGAAAAAAGGAAATAACTGAAGACTTCTATGTTATAAAACATATTTATTTTAAATGCCCAATTTGAGTGAAGAACAAAACTGCATGGCTGTTCTTCCTAAGGAAAATGGGTTAGGTCTGGATGAAAGTTGAAGTTTTGAAATGAGCTTGAAGGTTGTTAGAGTACCCTGACAATACAATCAACTGCGCTATATAATCACTTCCCTTAATAGTTACCTGTCAGAGCACCTATTTCTTTTACTACAGGATTAGCCCATCAGAAGTAGATCTGAGTTGGATATTTCACTGACTAAAGACTGCTTGAATATGTTTAAATCTTTAATGTCACTTTCTTCACTGACTATGAGATAAACTAGTGGAAAACCATTGGCTCAAAAAGCCAGCAGATCTGCTGGTGTTACGAGTCATGCTGCAATTGTATTTACCTATCAGAAGGTTGATCTAAATAATAAACCTAACATTTCTTTCTAAACTGTCAGTGGACGGATGTGTTTATTACAGTGTCCTCCATCATTGAGGAGAAAGGGGTTTAGGTAAAGTTTAAATAAAGAAAAAGCATAAGCATAGTACATCGCTGATATAAGAACAGTAAATAATTATGTCCTTTGTTATGCTGCGTATATTTTATTTACACATTTCAAAGGTGGAAAATAAACTTAGCCCATTTTGGGGGGAGTTAATAAAGTATTCCAAATGCATGATCTAACAAAACTCGGGGATCGTTCTATGTTTTATTGTTACACCCCTGCATAAAATCTTCTGAAGCTGAAAAGAGAAAGGAAAGGGCTTTTGTGTTAGTTGATCCTTGGCTATTCTAGGGCTCAGGTT